ACACATATATATATATAGGTATTCATATATAAATATGTATACATGTATATATATATATATCTATATATATCTGTATATCTATATATCTATATATATATACATATATGCGTGCGTGCGTGCGAGTGGGATGAGTGAGTTGAATGAGTTTTGTATTCTTTGATGACAATAATGTATCCTCACTCACAGACGTTACTCTCTGCTCTCTTCAGGCGATTGTCGATGCGTATGGTGTGGCCACGTACCAGGAGGTCAACCCGGGTCTGTTCACGTTGATCTCGTTCCCCTTTTTATTCGCGGTCATGTTTGGTGACATCGGGCACGGCGTGATCATGTCTCTGGCTGCCTTCTTCCTGATTTACTACGAGTCCGCTATCACGAAAATCAGAGGCTTGGGTGAGATGCCGAATACTGTGTTCCAAGGCCGGTACATGATCTTCCTGATGGGCCTATTCTCTATCTACACAGGTGTGTTGTTTCTGTGTAATTGCGTTGGGGTGTGCTGCTAATTGAGAGTTGTAGCACAGCTCTATTTAATCTCTAGTGGCCAGAAGAGAAACTCATTCCGCGGGTATTTGCGTGAGAGGAACCGTTCGCAGTTATTATGTAAACGACTGCGCTGCTTACCATGTCCTTTCTCATGGTGATTTTTCATGACTAGCATATGAATGTTTAATCTGTAGGTTTCATCTACAACGATTGCTTTGCCAAGAATCTGTGGCTGTTCCCGTCTGGTTGGAAGCTACCTACGGTGAAGTGGGGCGATGGAGGAATGTTCCTCAATGTCAGAGGCTTGGACTACAACGACTATGCCTGCCCCGATGGATGTGGGTATGTGCATATGTATTTTTCTACTTATTTGAGGTTGTGTTGTTACTGTGCTATTACTGTGGTTCTGTGGTTTATGTACTTCTGCAGCGAGGCGCAATTGATTCCGTGTGTGATATAATATATTAACGCCATTTGATTTAATATTAGATGTCTGATATGTTCATACATTTTGTGACTAGAAAGCATCATGGTGGTACTCCCAATGAGTTCACTTGTGTTGTGTTATTCACAGCCATTATGTGTGATAGTTTGGCAGAATTATCTCTACACATGCAATCATTTGGCCCCGTTTTGATATATGCAACCAGCTACACCGATGTATGCAAAATCGTCAGTCACGTATCTACAATCGATAGGATTCGGGAAGTTCCAATGGGTTAGAAGTTGTGTGCCAATCCCACTATATGCGCAAAATCTATTTCTTTTCCGAGCCATATGTATTTTGGACTTACAGGTGTACATATATACATATACAATACTCTATTTCTTAAATAATAAATCCTCTGGCTTCACTTTTCCCAATAATCGGACTTATTCCCCTCACTATGTATATTAAACCCTCAGATACACCGGTGCTCCCTACGCGTTGGGAGTCGATCCCGTATGGTCACTGTCAAATAACAAACTGGCCTACCTCAATTCTCTGAAAATGAAGATGTCTGTGCTCATTGGTGTCAACCACATGTCCTTCGGTGTGGTGATGACCGTGTTCAACGCCATCTACTTCAAGCGTGCGTACGCCATCTGGGCCGAGTTCATCCCTCAAATGTTCTTCCTATTCGGCGTCTTTGGTTATCTCTGGTAAGTGTTGCAGTCTGCCAGACTGTGTGATACTAGTGTTTAAAGTTGGAATTGCCCAATTATGTATGCACGCTATATCCTCTCATATTCGGCCCTGTCCAGTGCTATGATTGTCCCCAAATAGCGCATGACCTTGCAGCCCTTGCATCATGATCAATGGTAAGTTTGACATAAAGGAGAGTATATTGAATTCTTTATTAGGTGTGTTACTATCTGTGTGAGTTGTGTTCGCATCCACAACCTATTAAAGTCAATCCCTCTCTCCTATCTCCCTGGCAGTGCCATGATTGTTGCCAAGTGGTGCATGACATTTGAGTCTGTGATACCCGAGGGCGAGACGGCATTGGTGCCCACAGACCCTTCACTTCTGATCACGCTGGTGAACATGTTCTTGAAGCCGGGAGAGAACACGTACGCGGCCAAGACCCTCCTATACGAAGGCCAGTCTACCGTACAGTTGGTTATTGTGGGCTGTGCTCTAGTGTGCATCCCGTGGATGTTCCTGGTGTCGCCACTATACCAGAATTACATGCACAAGAAACAGGTTTGTATGCGTGTGATATGCAAATTCGAGAATTGCTGAGGGTATGTATGAGTATGTATCGATTCTTACTTCCTTAGGTTTACAGTATACTCGTCCTCACTTACAGGCAAAAGTTTCCTTTGTATTTATTGCTATCTATAGCAAGTGTCGTGATAGCAGCCCATTGCAGGGCCGCCCGTACACAACTCTCTCAATTATACTTGCACACACAAATGTGCCATTTCTTCATCATTTTCATAGCAAGCATTAGGTTGTCGACCAATCGCACAGGATATTATTATATATCCGCTCTCACTTACACTCAGACACAAGCAAACCTTTCTTTCCGCTCTGAGGTATGCGGCCGGGTATCATACCGATGCACTGAAAGCGATTATAAACCACATGTGCCGTTATTCGTTTTTTTCTATAGAAAGCGTCAGGGTACCAACCCATCGCACAAGACGAGGCAGGCACCACACTACCCGATGATTCCATGGACGAGAGCGGTGACGGTCATGTTATAGAGGCCTCAAGTGGTGGCCATGGTGGCCATGGAGAGGTAGGCATTATTCAGGTGTACACCACAAGTTTGGCTTTTAGTTCCGTTTCACCAGGGTGAAACTGCGACTCAGTGTACATTATCGGTGACGATTAGTTTGTGTCCTGTTTGTATTGTCCTAGATGTTCCAATCCGCCAACGTAGAGTTTATCTATCCCATACTCATCCTATCGGCAAACCTTTTACGTCTCAGTTCGACTTCGGAGATCTGATGATCCATAACGCTATCCACAGTATTGAGTTCTGCCTGGGTGCAGTATCCAATACAGCCTCGTACCTTCGTCTGTGGGCCCTATCACTCGCACACGCACAATTATCCGAGGTGCTATGGGACATGGTACTCAAGGCTACCTTCGCCGGTAATCCCATCATGTTGTACCTTGGGTTTGGTGCATGGGCTGGGCTGACTGTGAGTGTGCTACTGATGATGGAGGGAATGAGTGCCTTCCTGCACGCCCTCCGTCTCCACTGGGTTGAATTTCAACAGGTATGCATTCGATGTCGAGTACGTCTTTGACAACGATATGTTGTATGTGATGTCTGTGGTTGGTGTTGAGTGCGTCATTGACAGCGGGTTGTTGTATGTGATGGCTGTAGTTGGATGTGGTGTATTTAATTATTTATGCTCTACATCTTGTCCTGTCGTATTTTTTACGTGCGCTAGTATTCGGCTACGTTCTGCACTATTGGGCGAGTGCGAATCGCGATATATCTTGTGCTCATTCCTGATCATTCTTCTATAACCCTTTGAATCCAGAAATTCTATGGTGGACAAGGATATACGTTTGTACCGTTCTCCTTCGAGAACTATTTGGCGGCACTTCAAGGGTAAAACTGTTAGAATAGCTGCCTTCTCGCCTCGGGATTTAGGGAACAGTATCAGACTCATCCGCTGATACATACCATCTCATCGTTTAGTCGATGACATTTGAACAAGATTGTAGAATAGTTCTCGTGGGTTGCTTGTATGTAGCGAGTGCGTCCGAAAAGTAAAGTTACATCGGGTCAACTCGATACATTAAAGATGACGCTACATTTTACTTCAAGAGCTCTTGACAGGGTACTGTAATGAGTTTCCAGTATGTATGTTTGTAGGAATGGATATATATATATATCTATATATATATGTGTATGTATATACTTATATATATACATATATATATATATATATATATATATATATATATATATATATATATATATATATATATATATATATAATATATAATATATATATATATATATATATATATATATATAT